CTGAGCCTTTAAATGGTCTCTCAGTCTGGTTCAGTAGGAATCACAATCATGGGAAAGACTGCTGACCTGACAGTTGTGCAGAAAACCATCATTGACACCCTCCATAAGGAGGGAAAGCCTCAAAAGGTAATTGCAAAAGAAGTTGGATGTTCCCAAAGTGCTGTATCAAAGCACATTAATAGAAAGTTATGTGGAAGGGGAAAGTGTGGAAGAAAAAGGTGCACAAGCAGCAGGGATGTCCGCAGTCTGGAAAGGATTGTCAGGAAAAGGCCATTCAAAAGTTTTGGAGAGAGTGGACTGAGGCTAGAGTCAGTGCATCAAGAGCCACCACACACAGACGGATCCTGGACATGGGCTTCAAATGTCGTATTCCTCTTGTCAAGCCGCTCCTGAACAACAAACAACGTCAGAAGCATCTTACCTGGGCTAAAGGAAAACAGAACTGGTCTGTTGCTCAGTGGTCCAAAGTCCTCTTTTCTGATGAGAGCAACTTTTGCATCTCATTTGGGAACCAAGGACCCAGAGTCTGGAGGAAGAATGGAGAGGCACACGCTGCCAAAAGCACCAAAACCTGGTTCAATGACCGTGGGATTACTGTGCTCGATTGGCCAGCAAACTCTCCTGACCTGAACCCCATAGAGAATCTATGGGGCATTGCCAAGAGAAAGATGAGAGACATGAGACTGAACAATGCAGAAGAGCTGAAGGCCGCTATTGAAGCATCCTGGTCTTCCATAACACCTCAGCAGTGCCACAGGCTGCTTCCATGCCACGCCGCATTGAGGCAGTAATTGCTGCAAAAGGGGCCCAAACCAAGTACTGAGTACATATGCATGCTTATACTTTTCAGAGGTCCGATATTGTTCTATGTACAATCCTTGTTTTATTGATTGCATGTAATATTCTAATTTTCTGAGATTGTGGCTTTGGGGTTTTCATGAGCTGTAAGCCATAATCATCACAATTATGACAAATTACGGCTTGAACTATCTTGCTTTGCATGTAATCAGTCTATCTCATATATTAGGTTCACCTTTTAAGTTGCATTATTGAAATAAATGAACTTTTGCACGATATTCTAATTTTTCGAGTTTCACCTGTACTACTCACCTCTGGCACTGACAGCCCAGCCCAGCCGGTCCATTTCTTCTGGGGCTGAAGGAGCAGCTTCATTCTGCAGCAGCATTCCCGCCTGCATTTTGCAGTCAGGCCTTTCCGGAAGGCCTATGCAGCCGAGCACCGAGCTATGGATTGAATCTAGCTCAGTCCTCGGCTGCAGATGTCTTGCAGAACCAAGCTATGGATTGAATCTGTAGCTCGGTTCTTGACTGCACAGGCCTTCAGGAAAAGCCTGTGACTGAGAAATGCAGGCCTGGGTGCAAAAGACGCCTCAGAAGAAGTGGGCCGGTGTGGGGAGACCTGGCTGCAAGGTAAGTGGGTGCGCATAGGGCAGATCCACACCCCCACCATAGCTTGATTTTTAAGTGTGTGCCTCACCCCAAAACTAGAACTTATTTTTGGGGTAGGGCTTATATTAGGCCCATCCCCAAAAATCAAGCTAGGGCTTATTTTCGGGGTAGGCCTTACTTTTGGGGGGAAAGGGTAATAACTGTGCTTCTGTACACATTTTTACATTGGTATATTTGTTTAATTAATTTACTTCCTCATCTTAATATGCAAAGTCACTGTCAGGAATTATTTAAATTTCTCTTACATTATAGCTCTCAGTTAATCTTTTCTATTTCTCCTCTTTTTAGTTCCTTCACCAGGGCAACTTCAACACAGAGTCCACAGTGTGGGACACTTTCCAATATCTGCTAGGCAGCCCCTCAAAGCTATGGCCTATGTGAGTCCAACAGTTCAAGGAAGCAATAGTGGCAGTGGCCTTGCATTGTCCAGCAGCAGCAGCAGCAGCAGCAGCAGCTTGCAGATGCACTCCAACACAGGCATCCCAATGCCAAACAAGACTGCAAACACAAGCATTGTAACACGTAGTAGTCTTCCTAGGCCTTCCCTGGCCATAGGTGGAAGCAGTATACCTAGGAGCAAAATTGCACAGCCAATTCGAAGGTAAGAATACATTTGTTGAAGAAGAAGTTGCGCTTGTAACCTTTAAACAATAATTCCCACTCCCTGAAGTTCACTGTCATGAAGTCTAGAGATGCCTAACTGAGTAAGAATTCTCATAAATCAAGTGTCCTTTTAAATTTAATCTTTGGGTAGGGTAGGAGTGTGATGTCCACCAGATTGTGATGGATTCTAACTTTGAATTCTAATTCTAATCTTAAATTGTACCAATAAGGGAAGCTTACTACAGGTCATTTGAATCAGAGCAAAATATAAACTAAAGATCAGCAGTCCCCACCCTTTCTCTTAATATGAGCCACTGCTTTTTCAGGAAAAGGTCTTGAGAACCATTATTTAAACTAGGTGTTAGTAATGTGGCACTTAGAAGCATTGTGGCACATCTGACCTCCCTAATGGCATAGCGCTCCAAAATAATTCATTAAACTATCTAAAGTATCGTGGAATGAATGAATCACACAACATTTGCTACCTCACCTGAAATCTCACTAGATTTTCAATGAGAAGGCCAAAAACATGCAATATGTGGCAATTTCTTCATATTTTGGCTTATTTTCATCATTTGTAGGCTTAAATCAGGACTATCTCAATTGACAGCAATATTTAACTAGCCATATCTTGGATTGGATGCTAAACAGATTCATGCTTAGCTAATCCTTAGGTAGAAAAGCCCAAGAATCCCAGGCTTCTAGATTAGATTGGAAAGTTGGGGAAAGCAGTGGCAAATCACTGATAAAATTTATTTATCAGAGTTGAGCTTGACTTGAAGTAAATTTTTAACCTGTGATCATCTCCAGTATTCCCAAGAACCACCAGTAGCTGCCATGCCACAGGCCAGTAGGTTTTTACCAGTGCATTATGTATTATGCACCACTACTTTACTGCTCTATGGAATTCAGTCCAGAGAAATAAAAATAATGAGAAATAGTGTATAAGATGAAGTATTTCATAATGCTTTGGGAAATAATAGGTTGCATGGTGCTCTGCCATCAACCTAGGAAAACTTTGAAACATTGTTTCATTATCTGGGATGTTGGTGAGTATATTTAGTTTACTATGTTAAGTACTCAAGTAAATTATGGCTTTGTATTTTCTCCATAAAAGAAAACTTTTGATTATGATATATTCTAAACAGAATGTTGGACATATACCGTACTCTGGCCTGCCAGAGTATCACAGCTTTATTTTGAGTCCCAGTAGAAATCACATTTTGCTTCTGTGGAAGGACACTTTTGCAATGCTTTTTCTGATGAAGTATATATGTGATTGAGAGACCTGACTGAAAGAGGCAGGGTTTCTCATACCAAAATAAGCTCTCCCACTCCTTTTCTTCAGGTAGTTTTCTGAAATACAATAACTTCCCCCCCCTCTAAACTCCATTTTTCAACTCTAATTAACTCCCTGCATGTTAACATACATATATCATCATTTACACTTGACATAAATGGGTACCCATCATTCAGATTGACAGCTCATTGTCTGCAGATTCATCTCTGGCATAAAGTATTTTAATCTTCTTCTGTCATCTTCAGTTCCACCCAGAGCTTTTTGTACTGATGAGAAGGACCTATCATGGCACTTCCTCTTCATTATGCAATTCTAGGAGCATTCAGGCAATTCTTTTCTTCCACTTGCCTATGAATTAATCCAGCTCAGGCTTACCCGCCCGTACTGGGTTTATTCAAACCAACAAGCCACCTCTAACTTTGATTTGATATCTGGTGCTGATACTAGTCTACAGTATATGCATCCCTTTTAGGGAAGTTTCCCTATGAGAATCTAATCTTCTCTCAACTTCTTATCAAAGCAAACACAAACAGTTTTGTTTCGGTGTAGGCATGGATATGAGGTTGTTAGTCACATGCTGTGTTGGAGAACTGAGTCATCAGTTTTACACGCAAAACATGCAAAAATCATTCCTGGTATCACCAGTTGGGAAGTAACAAAGTAGGTAATGGGAAACATTGATATCCATGGTAAATAATGGGTTAAATAGTTATCTCAATTGGTTTGTGCTGTTACCCTATTAATTCTGGACGGCTTTTGGTTTTATAGCCAATAACTTCGTGTTGGCAAGGGATGAATTCTTTTAACTGAGTAGTTGTTTGACATTAGCTATTGTGATGTCTTTCCTTGGAGAAAAGGATTAACAGATCATCTTTGTTAACTCCTGACTTTAATGATTGAATAAACAAGAAGACCTTACAGTAGAATGGCAGAGAAGTTGGCTTGGGACATAAAGGAAGGGGCACAAGTAAAGAAACACAAGAGATAGTAGGAACTGCTTTCATGACGTATGAGATATATGTTTTGACCCTTCAAAGAGAATGGTGAGGAAGTGGAGTCAGAGGCATCTAGTTCTGATACTGGTGATCAGTGTTCAAGCCAAAGACTCCCCTTTGGCTGAGGCATATTCAGTAAGAGGCCCGTACTTAGTTTCTCATACTCTGAAGTTCAGCCAGAAATGCTAAGCAGAGGCGTGTGATGTAGACCAGCTAAACTCTGCAGACCTGTGACTTGCCAAGAAACAGACCAATAGAAGAGCAGATTCTCATGTGCCTCAGCTGTTCATTGGGGGTTTAGGACAATTGGCCACGCTTGCTTGGCTGCTCCTGCTTCACCCTAGGCCCTCTGCTGCAGAGGACCCACTGAGAGTATTCATCCTTAGCTGTCCCTCCACTGGCACTCCTCCCTGCCACTGGTTCCTCAGTGCCCGGAGTGCTGGCAGAGGGGCAACTGAGGATAAACATCCGCGGTGGGTCAGCTGTGGCAGGAGACCCCAGGGTGAAACGGACATGGACAGACGGCCAATTGTGCCCATTCTGCTCCTTTGAATGGCAGTTCAGCATGGCTCATCTATTGGCCTCACTCCCTGGAATAAAATGCCAAGAACAACTTTTCTGTTGTGTTTACCCCATCGTATTTTGCTCAGAAGTCTGGATTCCACCTCACAGTGTCTCCCCTTGGATTTGTTGATTGATAATTGGATTTCTGGTCTTGCCCCATGTTAAGCCTATTGACTACATTTAAAGTAGCCAGCTTAGGATGGTGGTATCTTCACCAAATCTTTCTTTCAATGATGCTAGAAACGAGAGGGTCATTCTGTGAGATTTCATCTGAGAGGTACGTCAGCTGCAACTTGTGGAGAAGATAGCAATACATGTGGTGGGATTCAAATATCTGAACAACCGGTACTCTGTGTGGATGCCGCTTCCGGAAGTCCATTCTGGGCCTGGGCAACAAAAAATTAGCTACCGGTTCTGCCGAAGTGGTGCGAACCGGCTGAATCCCACCACTGGCTTATTTGTTCATGGAACTTTGCCTTATTTTATGCTTACCTTGTTTCTTTTTTAAAACAGTTTTCTCCAGCCACCAAAACCTCTTTCTTCATTTACTACTCTACGGGATGGGAACTGGAGAGATGGCTGTTATTGATGTCAGGTCAATCTGAATCCCATTCAAGAAATAGCTCGGATCTCCTACCCAGCTGGCTGGGTAAATATAACTTTGGGGGTGCTATAATGTAGTGCTCTTTGTTATTCTTCTGTACTTATCATTGTCACTAAATATATTGCACTTAATTGTCTGCTTAAGCAAAAAGCAATACAGATAGTTCTAGACTTACGACTTTCAGTTGGGACTGAAATTTTGGTTGCTGAGCAATATAGTCATTAAACGAGTCATCATGTAACTGGACCTCATTTTACCCATTTTTACCATGGTTATTAAGTGAATCACATAGTCGTTAAGGGAGTCGTGTTTGTTAAGCAAATCTGGCTTCCCCAATTGACTTAGCTTGTTGGAAGCCAACTGGGAAGATCATAAATTGCAATCATATGACCACAAGATGCTACAACGATTGCACACACAATGTCCCTGGATTACAATCAGTACCAGCTGCCATGTGCCTGAATTGCAATTATGGGACTGAAGGGTTGCTGCAACAGTTGTAGCTTTAAGGACAGGTTGTAAGTCACTTTTTCCAAGACCACTGTAACTTGGAACCGTTGTTAAATGATCGTTAAGTCAAGGACTATCTGTATTATGAAGTAAGCATTGCATTATTCTTATTTTAAGTTTCAAAGTACATGCACAAAGTACCTGAAGTGTCCCCCTTGGGGAGTCAAAATGTGACTTCTGAATGTTTAGTCAGAATGAAGTGAGTTTATTTTTTAAAAAAAGTGTTCCTTGCTTTGTTTGCTTTCTTTGTTCTCTTTAGGTAGGCATTTTTTTACCTTGTAGATTTACAAATTATTATGTACTTCATTTTTTATAGTCTTTTCAAGAAAGCATATTTTTTGCACTTGATATCTTTTTGTATTTGCTTGAAACAGAGTGTCAAAATTTTCATGTACATTATATATATATATATTCTTTTAATGATCAGTACTTGATCAGAATATGTGTTAAGCATATACCCAAATCCAATTAGGTCTGTCTGTGCCAACTTTACATACATCTCTGCTAAGTTGCTCAAATACTTGATGAAAGTTCCAATCAGTCTTCAACAGTAATTTAAATGATACCGTCAATCATGTGGGCGTAGGGAAGCAGGAGCAGTGAGGAAGAAGGAACAGAAAGCAGAGATTGGATTGTTATGAAGACTGAATGGATGGGGAATATGATAGTCAATAAAACATTGTGAATGTATGATACAACAGAATGCACTTACCAAGCTTTTAATTTAAATTGCCATACCTTTGGGTAGTCATGAGTTTGTTCCCTCACCTCCTTGTTAATTTATCACCACAATGTTCTATTTCTAAGGAAATGTGTAAATTGCATTGCACTTAAAAGTTGCAGTGATCTCTTATATAGTCAGATTTCAATACTTTATTACAAAGAATACACTTGCAGTGTTTTATTAACAATTGTATATTATGGAAATTAATATGTTTTCATGGAAGTATTACATTTTTGATAAAAACTTTAACAAAACATTGAATTGCACTAATAAATGCTTTCTTACTTAAAGAGGGTGATTTGAATACTTGACTACAACTTGCATTCTGCAGTATTTGCAGGCTAACTCATTGCTCACCCCAGCAGTTTGATCCTGACCAGCTCAAGGTTGATTCAGCCATCCATCCTTCCGAGATCGGTAAAATGAGGATACAGATTGTTGGGAGGCAATATGCTGACTCTGTAAACTGCTTAGAGAGGGGTGTAAAGCACTGTGAAGCGGTATATAAGTCTAAGTGCTATTGCTATTCTGCGGATCTGGAAAGTTTCAGAAATAAGGAAATCTATTTCAGCAATAGAATATTTTTGGATGCGCAACAGAAATGGATCGTCTGTGTTTGCTCTGCTCCATTTTTATTTAAAAAGTATACAGTCTTATTGAGGTGAGCATCCCTTAGCCACAAAGTAAATTAAAGATATCTAGCAGCCTGACTTCTGATTAGGAATTTTCCTGCCAGGAAAATGGCAGGAACTTATCAGGGCAGTTTCTGAAAATTGGACACAATTGAACGAAAGAAAATAAACAAACAAACAAACAAATAAAGTACCTGATGCATCTGTACAAGTCATGCAGCTCCTCCAAATTCCACCCCAGCAGAGTAATTGCACAGCAGAAAGTGCGACATATCATCTTGAGTGAACTACAGTAAATGAAGTCCCAACTTTATTTTGTTCTCTACAGTCTTTCTCAATTTGAATTTAATAAAGTCAAGTGTTGAAAAACAAATGTGAGGAGGTGCAACTGTGTTCTGCCCTAATTTGGACGTTCTTGTCTATATGAATAAACAGCTAGACCAAAGAAAATCACAATGCTACATCAGACTGCATACTACAGTATTTATCATGGCCTTAGCAAGTGGGAAAGAAAACATTTGCTCCAATGATCCCTGATCTCTCCTGGAGAAAACCTTATCAATATTCACAGCAGAGTCAACGTACGGACTGTTGAACAGTATACACCAAACCTGGAATCTACAGATTCTGCTATTAATAACTTATAAACTATAATAGTTGCTTTACGAATTCGTGATGGATTACATAAGTGAAATTCATAAGTTCAGTACGGTATGAAAAGCACTCAAACAACATGAACCTCGGTATGTACGTACATACATACATACATACATACATACATACATACAATAATATATGAGTATATATGTATATGTGAGAAAAGTAAAGTCTTGCCCTCAAACAGCAAAAACCTAATGCACAGAAATAAAATAGGCAGTACCTGGCTCAATACTGTAACTGAGAGGTATCTAGATGTCCTAGTGGACTGTCACTTAACTATGAGCGAGGAAAAAAAACCTAATGTACTCCCAAGTTGCATCAACAGAAGGATGGCATCAAGATCACGTGAAGTGAAAGTACCACTTTATACTGCACTGGCGAGATTACACTTGGAATACTGTGTCCAGTGCTGGTCACGACGATACAGAAAAGATGTTGAGACAATAGAAAGAGCAACAAAGATGATCAGGGGTCTGGAAGCAAAACTTATGATGAACAATTGAGGGAACTAGGTATGTGCTGGACCAGTTATGTAATCATCTGGCCAGAATATATACTTGAGATCTGTATGTTAGAATGTTTGGCATTTATAGGGTTAAACACTGTTTCCTTAAGAGATGGCTTATGGGTAATGTTTTAGCTGTTAGTTAATCCTAAGTAGGAGGAGTTTCAAAGTTTATGACTGTACTTCCTGGCTTTATGCCTTTGTATCGTTTTCCCTACATGAATGCTAGCCATGTGGTGGCTGGGCTAAGATCTCCAACATGTAAGGTTACGCAGAAGAGGGGAAATCCATTGTCAATTTACCTGTGAAAATGAGTTTATATTGCTACATACATTCTGGATGAACGTCTGCATAAATATTTAGCCTAATGAAGAGAAGGACTGGGGTTGATATGATAGCAGTCTTCCAGTACTTTGGGGGTTATCAGAGAGAAGAAGCTAGTCTCCAAAACACCTGAGGGCAGAAGTCGTGGATGAAAGATCATTAAAGAGAGATCCAACCTAGAATTAAGGAGAAATTTCCCGACAGAACAATTAATCAGTGGAACAGCTTATCTTCAGAAGTTGTGGGTGTTCCATCACTGGAGAGATTCAAGTAGACACTGGGCAGCCATTTGTTCACAAATAGGGTCTCCTGCTTGGGCACAGGGTTGGACTGGAAGATTTCCAAGGTCTCTTCTTGCCTATTATTCTGTGTTGTATGTTCTAAATATCATTGTGTTTGGCTGCAAAGACAACTGGAAGGTTTGCCATCCTTAACTTCTCGCCTCAATTTGTGGCTAATATTTCAAGTGTGGTTCATTGATGTTGCTATTCCAGGTGATGTTCGGATTCAAGGAAAAACAATTGGAAAAAAATGACAAAATATCATAAAAATTATGAAAAATTAGGACTTGCAGGTTGAAGTTGAATGCTTATGGAAAAAGAAATCAATTCTTACATAAACCGTGATTGGAGACCTCAAAGCAATGCTTAAAGAACTTCCTCAACATCTAGAAATACTGACTTTAGCAGTATATGAGTATGAATTATTAAATTTCCACTTGGTTTGCAAATGGCTCAGTTGAACATACAGACAATTTAAATGCTAGCTTTTTGTAGCTGCAGGGAGGTATTTAGAGCAATCAAGAAGTCTATTAGCACTAATGGAAGATCTCCCTTTTCCCCATGGCTCTTTGAGTATTCCAGAGCTCATATTAGAAATGCAGAAAGTGATAGTTTCTCTATGCATTTTTAATGAAATTTACATCCAACAGTTGTAATGGTATTATATTTGTAACCTGCATACATATTGTACAAAACGTACCATCAGAGATAAGATTTAAGCTTATTAGTCCTCGCTTAATGAGCACAACTGGGACCAGAACCTCTATTGCTAAGTGATACAGTCAAAGAGATGTGTTTTCAAGTGCCTTTGTCTAGGATTGTGCTGTAAGAATCCCACTCAATACGTGGTGATAGAGGGAGGAGAGAGACAGAGATAGAGACTCTACTGATGCATTGAATTTTCCTTTAGAAGTTCATTGCTTTGGTTTGTATTCAGGTTGCCTAACAATGAAATATTCATATAATAAGTTCAAATAATTAATTATATGTTGCTGAGAGATGGGAAATTGAGTAGAAGTGCTTTGATATGTAAAGATGTGTATGTCAGGCAAATCCATTCCCATTCTGTTGACTTGCTTACTTTTGCAAAATTGTCTTGGTTTTCCTGCTGTCTATAGAAAAATCTTCCGCTCAAGACCATTTATAGGGCAAGGGTTCAACTTAACACTATTTCTTATATGTAGAAGATACAGAGAGTTTTTTTATTTGCTGTGCTAAAACACTTTTAAAAATCCAGTGCTTATTGAAATGGAAGGTCCTTTAAAAAGATGCTATATACTGTATATTTCACTGGGCTAGTAGGAAGCACTATAATACTAGTTGAATCTTAGCAAACAGTCTTAAGTTCC